AAGAGTCCTCAATTATGTTACTACCGAAGGATATACAAATAATTCCAAACAGTATCAGGGTACTCATTTTGTCTATTTCTTTTTTCTGAGGTAGGTAAGTGAGGGGCGAGGGTAGTGTGTGTGTATACAAGTGTGTAGGTATGAATGTGTGTGTATAAGTATTCATGAAAATTGATATTCCTGGGTTTAGGGAATTCACTATGTAATTTCAGTGTGTTTCCTAACTCGGGGTAACAAAAGTAGTGTCTTTTTTGTATGAATTTTTTGTGAACTAGGGGGCAGGGGTTATTTCAGTATTCAACAGGTCAAACCACATGTCAATCCTCCCTGTGTTGAAACACCCTCCCACCCCCATTTCCTCGTCCCCCTCTTATAGACCTCTATTTTCCTTTTCACCGAAGTCCTATCTGTCAGCCTTCTGGTCGGCTGCTTCCTCTTACTACCTCACCCTCCCTCGGGGCCCCCAAAGTCTGTTCCCTTTGGTAAGCAAGTTTGTCTTTTTAAACATGCTAGTCGTAGTCTGGTGTGATGCAACTTCACTCAGCGTCCGGGGCCCCAGGTCCGTCGTGTGCTGAAGTGCTCTGTGGTTTCCGAGTAGCGCTGTCTCTTACTGATGCCGGACCTGGGCTTTCGTCAGGCTTAGCTCACTTGGACTTCCAGGGGGAGAAGGGAGATTAGGATGGAGAGGGGTATCATGGATTAGGGAACTGAAATACTGCCCTGGCACACAGCCCTCTTCGGGACTCCTGATCCTTCGTTTTCACTTCCTTGCCATGTGGGATTAGAGGAGAAATAAATTCACCAAAGAAAAGAGAAAGTCAAGGACTGATGGAGACCAGGTCACTATGTGTAACAATTTGTCCTCAAACAGGGAAGGAGGTTTGTGCTTCATCCTGGAGCTGGGGGAAAGGTTTGTGCTTGCTCCCTGAACTGGGTTACCATTGAATTTCTCGTCTGAAAGCACTTCACATTAGTTATTTTAAGCTGTGAAATGAAATTCGCGGTAGCAAACTTGGCAGTGAATCAGTGTTTGTCTGTACCAAATGATGGATAACAGCTCCCCCAGGTGGCTGCCGAGGAAGAATGAGGCAGGCCGACATCCACCAGGTGGAGGTGGAGCTGCTCTTGATGCAGGTGCGCGTGACCGGTCCTTGGGCGGGGCGGCGACAGTGTCAGCACTCACCCTGCTGTGGCGAGGGGCCCTGGGGTCGGCTGGGACTCAACCGTCCTGCATTCCACGGAGCACCCCCTGCCTGTGCTGCACCACCCTCTTTGGTATGTTGGGGCCTGTTGGTAAAGCCGCTGGCTTGGTCCATCTTGTCCGGAGTCTTCCTCCTCTTTGCTGCCCCTGCACTTTCATCAAGCACGATGCCCTGGCCCCGGCCCCTCGGAATCACACGTTCTAAGCACGAGACGAAGTCTCTCCCTCCTCGCTTCTAAGGCGCAGACTGGCAGCTTTTCCTCCCAGCAGCTGTGCTTGTGGGACTGGCAGTCCACGCATGGTACGTTCACTATGCTGCACCAGCATCCCAATTCAAACGCACCCATTCGCCCTTTTTTTGTCTTCCTCCCTGTCCAGCCTTTGCGGCCGCTGGAAAGATGATGCCCGAGTCCGGCGCAGCCTAGCTCTCCTCAGAGTGCCCTCTTTGCTTTTCAACATGCAAAAGGACTTGCGGCAGCCCGCAGTTTCGTGATGGGGAAGAGAGACCGTTGCCTATTATTCTGAGAAGTCTGGCAGAACCAAAACGAAACAAAAATGCTCAACATCGCTGACTTCTGTCCTCGTCCTGGCTAATGCCCGTGGTCCTCACCCAGGACTGAGGACGCTTGGGGGCCCTGGGTCCGTTTCAGCTCATGAGCACCTGTGCTGCTTTCGGGTCTCTAACATGTAGCATGCGTGCAGGTGCCGGATTTCATCTTCGCATCTCTGGGTGTTCAGGCAGTGAGACTTCCTTCTTCTTTCCCTGTCACCGCCCCCTGTTTTCTTACCTGTGGGACGAGTGGCCTGTCTGGCGGATCTGGAAACCCTCGCGCTTGGACTCGTGTCGGGTGGCTCTGTTTTTTAATTTGGACAGGAGTTGGCTGTGGTGAAAC